ATAAAAAATAAGGGAATCTTTGAAAATTATAAAAAAAATATTTTACATGAAAAACATTGACCAAAATACCCTCGAAAAGTTTTGGGGGTATTTTGGTCAATTTATATTTTACAGATAATTTTTTTTTATATTTTTATTATATGCCCCTCAGTAAGATGTATATACCCTCCAAATTTCAAATTATTCCGATTTGTAAAAAAAAAACTGAAAAATAAAATATTACCTGACAATTGTGACCATGCTTTGAACGGTGATGAGGATAGGGCGAAATTACTATTCATTTTTGCCTATAAACGTTGGAAAGGCTTTTCTATATATATATATATATATCGAGAGAGAGCTAAAATCTTTCCGAGAGAGACGTAGTAGAGATGTTTTGCATATGGGGTTATTTCTATTTGAAAATCTGCAGCAAGAGAGATTTTCTTGGCAAAAGGAAAAGCATAGTAGAATATTTTCATCATTTGGGTTTTTTCGAGCTGGGGATTTTAGAGAGGGTAGTTATTTTTTCTTGGAGATTCTAGAGATAGTATGACCCCTTTGTCTCTTACCTCAACCCGAACCAAAGAACATCTATTACAAAAAGAATCCATGCATTTGTGAAAATAAATAATACAGTTTCTGGAGAGAGAAACATGAACCATGCCTTCACCCTCGTGAATAAGAATCTCTACCATGGCGTGTGGTGACAAGGATTTTGGTAGGGTAGGTTTTAAGGAGGTTCCGGTTTTAACAGTGGGGAAGGAAGATGTGAAGGATTCTTTAGGGCGGGTGAGTTCTTTGGTTGTAGGTTCTCCCCTCCATCAAAGGATCTTTTTGGTTTAGGGGATTGGGTGAGGAGAGCTTGGGGTTTGCCCTATTTACCGGGAGTGAAATGGTTTGGAAATAGTAATTTTTTGTTTTGTTTTTGCCTATGAGTAGATCGAGATGCTTAGAAGGTCTTGAATTATAATAAACATTGGAGAGTTCGAAGTAAGTTGCTTTCTCTGGATGAATGGAAGTTTTGACTGCTTCCAAATTTTTTTTTTTGGGTTAAGTTCTGGGGAGTCCCGCCTCATGCTTGGAATCTTATATTATAAAAAAGTTGGGCAATTTGTGTGGTGAGTTTCTAGGAGTGTATCGGTCAGTTTTAAAGGTTTTTTTTTTTTGAACAGTTTTAAAGGGTTTGGATCTTTCTTTTGTTGGGGTGAAAGTTAGTCGCAATCGGTTTTCACTTTTTCCAAGGACGATTAGACTTTCAATAAACTTGGTGGATTCCTTGATCGATGTATCAGTGGAAGGACATGTTAATGTACTTTATGATATCGTAATATGTTGATGGATTGTCCTTTGAATGGTTTTTAATTTACTTGGACAAATAATTATGTGCAAAACCTTATTATGAGTACATTGGGTAGATTCTTGGTTGATAGTGCTTGGGAATTTCAATTTCCATTAGCCAGGGTAAATGCTTTGGGTAGGTTCTCATCGGACCATATGGCTGTCATTATTCAGACTGAAAATTATTTTTACGGGCCATGGGCCTTTTAGATTGGATACGGTGTGGTTGGAAGATAGTGAGGTGCGTTAAGAATGTATGGATAAGTAATTCTATTTTGGGTTGGGCTGACTTTAGAGTTTTTAAGAAACTGATAATTGTCAAGCATAAGTTGTTTTAGAGGAAAAAAGAAAAAAAATTATGTTAAGAAAATAAAATACAAGAAACTGCCACTCGTATTCAAGATTTAGATGACTCTTCCATGAATAATGGGGTTGTCATAGGGGAAGTGGTTGCTGAGAGGGCGAATTTGGTTAATAATGTGCATGATTTGATGAGGATAGATGAGATTAATTGGAAACAAAAGTCTAGAGTCAAATGGTTGAAAGAGGAGGATCTTAACACTAAATTCTTTCATTCCATTGCCAATGCTAGGCGCTGATAGAATGATATTTCTGTCATTGAGTTTAGTGGTATAGATAATGATGATTATGTGGCATGGGAGAATGAATTTTTAACCATTTTAAAAAAGCTTTTACTAGTGAAATTCACTTTCAAGCCTACTATGAGGGGGTTCTTTTTAAATTGCTTTCACTAGAGGATGCTTCTTTTCTAGAAAGGGGGTGGGTATAGATGAACTGTGGCATGCAGTTTTCGTTTTTCCTGGGGATAAGGCTCCAAGGCCAGATGGCTTTTCTCTATTATTTTTTCATAAATTTTGGGATTTGCTTAAAGATGAATTATTATTGATGGTTAATGAATTTTACTTAGGGAGTATTTGAATAAAGGTATAAAGTCAACCGTTATTGCTTTGATCCCTAAGAAGTCTTCCATTACGGGTATCAATGATATTCGGCCTATTAGTCTTTTGACTAGTTCGTATAAGAACATTTCCAGAGTGGTGGTTGAAAGATTAAAAGTGGTTCTTCCTAGCATTATCTCGGCCACTCAATCTGCTTTCATAAAAGATAGAATGGCTATGGATGGGGTTTTGATTGCCCAATAGTGTATTAATGCTAGAGTAGAAAGTGGGTTTTCGGGGCTTATTATTACACTTGATATGGAGATAGCATATGATCGTATAGAATGAGCAGTATTGGATGAAAATTTTCTTCATACGAGTTTTGGTCAGAAATAGAGGAATTGGATTTTAGGATGTTTATCTATGGCCCATTTTTCTATTTTGGTTAATGGATGTTCGAAAGGTTTCTTTTAGGCATCTAGGGGTATTCGTTAAGAGGATCCTGTATCCCATTTTCTTTTTACTTTGGTTGGTGAAGCTTTCAGTTTAATGATTGATAATGTGGTGGGCAGTCATCATTTTTCTGGCTTTCAGGTTAGTCTCAATGGTCCATCTATTTCTCATCTTCAATATGCAGATGACACTTTGCTTTTCTGTGAGGCAAATCTTGATCAAGTTTTGAATATTTATTGGTTCTTGAGTTGTTGTGAGTTTGCATTGAGTCTTAAAGTTAATTTCACCAAAAACTCTATTATTGGCGTTCGCTGTGATCAAGCTTTGGTGGAAACATTGGCTGTCTTGTTGAATTGTAAAGTAAAGTAATTTCCAATGAAATATTTGTGAGTGCTCCTTTTAGATTGTAGACTACCCAAGGAGGTTTGGTACCCGATGATTAAGCGTGCCAATTCAAAACTAGATATCTGGAAAGGCAAACATCTTTCTTTGGGTAGAAGAGTTACTTTGATAAAATCATCTTTTTTAAATCTCCTGATCTATCAAATGTCCCAACTTATAATGCCTGTAGATATCATTAAGAAATTGGAGAAGCTGATGAGGGATTTCTTGTCGGTTTCTGATGCTGAGGTGAAGATGTATCATCTTGTTAATTGGGATGGAATTTGCACACCCAAATGTGAAGGTAGCTTGGGTATTCGCAAGTTAAAATGAGTCAATCAATCTTTAATTGCAAAATGGTCGTGGTGCTCATTGAGTAGTGAAGGTCATCTTTGGATAGAAGTTTTGAAAGCCAAATATGGAGTTGATATTTGTTATAACATGAAATGTTGGTGGACGATCTCTTACTTGGAGGACCATTGTGACTAAGAGATTCTTTGTACTGCATCATTTGAGATGGTTGGTGGGCAAAGGTGATGTGGCTTTGTTTTGGTATTCCAAGTGGGCATCTGACATCCCCTGTAAATTACAATTTCCAGACCTTTACAGTAGAAGCTCACAATAAATGGCTACGGCTCATGAAGTTGGTAGTGGGACTGGTATGTGTGGAATGTCAACCGTCTATACAATATACTACTGTTTTGTTTAATATAAGAAAAAAGAGAAAGATGAAGTGTTGGGACTTGACTTTTCTATAGATTCGTGCAAATTTAATGGTGATCCTTTGGCGTCCTACACATAAGGGTGGGAGAGGCTCCTATAGGATCATTTTTCTTATATAAAGAGTAATAATCCTATAGGACCCTCCCCCACCCATGTGTGTAGGATCCTAACGGATCATCGTTAAAGTGTGTACGAATCTCTAGAAAATTTATCACATGGGAGTGGGAATTGATTTTTCTATTGATCCATGCCAAATTTTAATGGTAATTCTTTGGGGTCCTACACACATGGGTAGAGGAGGATTATATAGGATCATTTCTCTTATGTAAATGCATATCCCAAAGTTTAATGACCCTCATTTCAATTGTTTTTCTTTGGCATCATATTGTGGCAGTTTTTTGACATGACATTGATATTTTACCATTCTAACGACCGAGATTAGGGCCAGCCTATAAATGGGTAGAGTCAACCCTTATCTCGACCAACCTAGACTCAATTGGTTCTAGATCGATCAGACCTAGATCCCCCCCTACACAAAGAGAGAGAGAGAGCGAAAGAGTAAAGAGGAGGCAAGATAAAGATTAGTAGAGAGGACACCAAAAGCAATAAAAAAGTGGATCCAAAATAGTATATGAAATCACAAAGGTAGGCATCCTACAAACCAAAGCTCTAACCCAAAAAGTCACATCTGTGGACTTCCCAAAAGCTACGCCTGTACTGAAATGGGGGCCAAGTACGGTGCCCTTTTTGGCAATTGTA